AAGAAATAGTAAATCACATTATTCTGAGATTAAGATGCACTATTACAGCTTTACCTGCATTTCTGAATATAATTTTTGTTTTTTTCAGAGGTTGAATCTTATGCATGAATAATAAAACACAAAGATCTATCCCTGTGTGTGTGTGTGGGTGTGTGTGTGTGTGTTAGACCTGCAGTGGAAGCCTGCACACACTGAGGACACCTTGACCAACATGCCTCGCCACTCCCTCTATATCATAATTGGAGCTCTGTGCGTGGCCTTCGTGCTCATGCTCATCATCCTCATTGTGGGAATCTGCCGCATCAGCCGCATCGAGTATCAAGGTTCCTCCCGCCACGCCTACCAGGAGTTCTACAACTGCCGCAGCATTGACAGCGAGTTCAGCAACGCCATCGCCTCCATCCGCCATGCCAGGTCAGTGACAGGATTTGTGTGTCAGCGTTCAGCTGCTGTGATTAATGAGTTTTTATGAGTGCTTTGCATTTTACATTTCTTGGATGTTAGTTTTACCATCCACCCACGCTGCCCCCCTTTTTTTTAGAAATCCAAAATTGACCAAGTTAACTCAGAAATATTCTTTTTAATTGGCGGCAACACAACTTTTTGATGCGTTTTTGCCGTGTTTGTATATCTTAAAGAAGAAACGGGTACGGTAACCTTCAGTCATAACAGTTTTTCTCGATTGCTGCTGCCAAGGTCAGGAGTGATCTGTCAAAGCCATTTTACCGGTCACCAGCAACTCTGTGACAGCACTTAATCTGAAATCCTGCTCTGCACACTGTGCATGTTCAGTTTAGGACACAGTGACATTTAACAGGCAGGCAGAGTCTAACTGAAGACAGCACTGAGTCGACTTTTGGGATCTTTTAATTAAAGCGAGAGCATCTTGGATTCTTCCACTTGTGCTTTTTTAAAAACATTTTTCAGTATTATCTGTCTTTTGTTTGTCTTTCTTGAACAATAATTAACTAACTCTTTAAAGTAGGGGGGTAGTCGGGATGTTTTGTACTTTTTTTTGGTACTTCTGGGTTATTACCTCCTTTAGCTTTAAAAGCACTTGTCATTCTCTCAAAACACCTTCTTACGCTGCAATATTTGATAAACATTCGGCTTTTTTAAAATTAGATTTGGGAAAAAGTCCAGACCTGCGATGTATGACGCCACCCCAATCGCCTATGAAGACTACAGTCCTGATGACAAGCCACTGGTTACCCTCATCAAGACAAAGGATTTGTAAAACACGACTGCGTTTCACCATTACAGGCTGTACACACACACACACACACACACACACACACACACACACACACACACACACATACATAATGCCAGTTCAAATCTAAAATAAGAGCAAAAGAAAACTGAATGTAAAGTGGAAAAAGAAAATAATGCAAAACATAGACTGTAGATTAAAAAGAGCAAATCTGGAATTTGATACATCTATTTTCCTGTCCAAGTTCACAATAAGGCTTTATTGTAGCGTAAGAGCATTCTTTGCATCACTTAAGTTATTAATGATGACAGGCAACACTACCAGTAATCTCTGCTGTACAATAGAGTGATGACTTTAGTCTGCACCAGACTGTCTGTCTGCAGGTGGGGCCAGCATCCCGGGAGCCCACATTTCTAAGCGTAAACTTAGCAGACAGCGCTGACAACAGTCCTTACAGGTGTTGTAGAAATAGGTGCACTTGTCACTGTATCTTTTTCTATATTAAAAAAACATGAAAGAATCTGCAGTAGGTTGCCTTACTTTGTGCATGGTTAGATTTGATGTTCTCTCTGCAAATATTTTAAAACCTTTGTACTCAGTTGTTGGTTGTTCTTTTCTTCCCATTGCACTTGTATTTCTCTCTGTCAAGATTGTGCCAAATGTTTTCTTTAGGGAATTTTGTGGTTAGTAGATAAAATACATAAATGTATAAAATACTAGTCACAGCCTTTCCCCCCTCCCCCCCTTTATATTATATTGTCCTGTTCTTTACATGCAAGTTTCTAAGTGGTGTTTGAATAGTACAGAAAGTCGGTTTGCTGGAGTACTGTGACCCTACCATCCTACTGTATGTTTTTAAGTGATATTTAGGATCATAGGTAGGTATACTTCTCACTGCACAGAAAAATAGTTGGTTCTACTCAGTGTACCTGTTCCTCCCAGTGTACAAATTCACCTCTAGTGTTGGCAGCATCGATTAGTTTCTGGATGTGAGTTTCTTTGCTAGAGTGGCCTCTTGTTGGCTTTAGTTTGGAGAAGACGGAGGAGATGTTATCTAGTCCAGAATATATGTGCTTCTGTGTTCTGCCAGTGGAAAACTTTCTGTCTGTGCAGCTCTGTTGTTCCTCTCGAGGTCAAGCAATGTTTTACCAATAGGCTCAGCTAATCCTACCATTTTTTTCTCTCGTTTTAAACTGCAGCAACATGATAAACTATTATCTCTGTTGAATTATGTAAACAATAAAGATTCAAGTGAACATAAGCGACTTCTTTATGTGTGTCTCATGTGTACTGTACCACATGCATCATATTTGGGGCAGGATGCTTGTTTGAAAGCGTTTGATTTATTGACCTTTATTTAACCAGGAAGTCCCACTGAGATCAAGTCTCTTCTCTCTAAAGGAGGCCTGGCCATGAAAACTCAAGCAATACTGAAAATGAAAGAAATATAACAAAAAAAAAAATGGGAATTATGTGCAGTGATTTATTAAAACGTGCAAGCCTGACCTTTCTCAGTAAGTAGTCTTCAGGAATAGTTCTCCAGGCTTCTTGAGGGCCATTCAAAGCTCTTCTTCGGATGTCGACTGTCTTTTGTTTTGTTCTCAGTCAACATGATCTCACATGATCTCAATTGAGGGGAGGCCAGTCCATGACTGCTGTGTGGTTTTTCTACCCAGGTAAGCTTTTACTGAATTTGCAGTGTGTTTTACTATCACTGTCATACTGAAAAATGAAGATGTTGCCGTTCAAATGCTTTCCAGATGGTGTTGCATGGTGGCTCAAAATCTGATGGTACTTGTCTGCATTTATAATTCCATCAAATGTAAAAACATTTAGGCCTTCACTCACCCAGTTTCCTCTTTGTTTTTGCATACACTGCACACCATGCTGAGATATACCAAGTTTTTACCTGATAACTCATCGGGAACCATCTTGTTGGTGCGAGAATACAAATTAATGAATGTCAAAACTGTAATATTTCTGGCATTTTTAAAAATAGATTCAGTTAAATGATGGGGTAAGAAACAGGGTACTAGTAACAAAGTTTTTTTGTTATGTGTAAACGCAATGCTGGTTGATCACTTGAGCTAGGTGCCTTTTTTTAAATGCTTGAATGATTCATAGGTCACAGTTTAGTGCAAGTACACCAAACAAACAGTTAAAATTGTTTTAAAAAACATCCAACCTCAAAGAAAAACTTTGAAAGATCTTCAGAAAGCCTGGAGAACTTTTGTTCAAGACAACATTGTAACATTAATAGAAAGTCTGGATCCTTGGAAGCAAAATATCAAGAAATAAGCACTGGCTCAAGATTTTTGCACAGTACCATAGGTTTCGAAAAGGGAACTCTGCAGGACCCTTCTCATTAAAGAGGGAGAGAGATTTTGGGCCCTCTACACAAACACCCTGAGTTTGATTTTGAAACCAGTCAGCCTTAGGATCAAATCCAGCGATAATAAGTTTGCTCACCTGCAAATCACGATCAAGTGAATCAAAACGCCTTAAACAGATCCACCGACGAGGAAGTGTACTCTTCTGTCCAGGGCACCTATGAACCTATGAGCTCATTTGTCACAGCTGTAGCAGCAGTAATGGTACTGTGCCCTTTTCTACAGGCAGTGTAAAGATTTATTATCAGATTGAAAAAGTGTTGTGCTACTAGTACCAGTGCTATACCTGGGGCCTGAGGCGCTTTAGAACTCATACCAAAACAATACTGAGAAACACGAACATGGTTTTCTACCAAATAGCGTTCTATACATACAAAAAGGACTTTGTTTATGTTTTTTAACAGAGCACCTCCAGTTCATCAGTTTGCATCTCACCCAAACACAACATAAAAAAAAGTGGCAGCATCAGAATTTTGAGGTGTGATTACTGAGCGAGCGATGCTGCTGCTGTTCTGCTAATAATCCAGCTGTGACGGGCGGACACATGGAGCTACAACGATTAAACTGTTTTCTGAAAATGTGGATTCTAGCTATTTACAGCGTCTGTTTTTCTGTTCCCAAGGTCATACCCACCAGACTGAACCGTAAGCCGTGCGACAGACCTTTTATGGAGTGTTGGTAATGCGAACACCCTGAGTGACCTCAGGCTTTATCCAGATGTTTCCCCGTGTAAACATCTCTAAATACAGACTGCGTTTGCGGAGTCATGTCGTTCCTCACACCTACGTGGATTGTGTGTGTCGACCCACATACACACACACATTGCAGGAGGACCAGATGCGATTGCTGGCTCTTGTCTTTTCCTGCAGTCTGTTTCTGTGACTTTGTGAGGTTGACCTCTGCCCTTTGAGTGGTTTGGAGGGTCAGGCTGTTTCACATGGCGTCGTCTACTGCTAAAAGTTTAATTTTAACACGACAGCAGATTAAAAGCAGATTATCCAACTTTTGGCGGCAGTAAAATGAATTGATCAATTTTCGAGACAATAACAGATGATGTTTTTCACGAATATCTCTTCCAGACTGAGCTCGTAGAGTAACAAGGTCATTCCGAGCCGATACAGTCAGCCTTTGTTTTTTAGGCGCTTAAGGGGATCAAAATGTGTGGGCAGCATAACATTCTTTGTCCTTAGCTGCCTTTGTTCAACTTGGGATTTATGAGACCGGAAGACTTAAACTAACCACGTTTTCATTGCTGCTAGCCGCTGAAATAATGCTGTTTTTGTTGGGTTTACATAACGTTTCTTTTGATTTGACTGCATTCTTCCACTTCTGGCTGTTTTGGTCCAGATGACTAATCTTCGAGGGCCTTTAATTCGTTTTTGTAATGAGGCTAAATTTCATTATGGGCGCCTTTTGATGTTCGTGTTGCTTCACAGAGCTGGGTGGAAAAAATAAGGCCTTGGAAAAAGGATGTATGTGTAAATGGGAAATGCAGGACTTTGGGAGTATAGAATTTACTTTACTGAGGCCTGCAGTGACGGGATCTCCAGGAAGAAGAATGATGTTGCACAATGAACCAAAGAAAATGGACCTGGAGATCAGGAAACCAGAGTGATTATAGTTCCAGAGTCAGTTCAGTCAGTTTAGCTTTTATTGCCTAAAAATGTTTAGTTTTGATTGAATTTTTATTAGTTTCAGTCTTTTTAATTATTACTGTAAGAAGGGAATATGTCAGAAGTGAGATTTGGGATAATACAAGTATTACAATAAAACATACATCTTTTTGAAAGCAGTTAAGTCACAGTCTTGTCTCAATAAACACATCCATCAATGCCTCGTCAGGTAAGCTGTAATAAATGTTATGTAAATGTAAATAAACTAACAGGTGCTAAAGGGCGTTTCTTCTATATTTTTATTTTAGTTTTCCAAGTTCACAAAATGTATTCGGTTATCTTTTCCTCACAAAAGTCTGGTTTTTATTTTAATTTTGTTTGAGTTATTTGAGTTTATTTAGTTTTAATTTATAGTTTCATTTTGGTTAACTACAATAACCTTGCATGAAACCAGATTAATAAACTGGAAAATGCTCCAAATGGAAGAGGAGAATCCAGGGACGAATAGTGTATAATCTGATATGTGCAATATTAATATTTAAGGTGATGGATTTTTCAAAGGAAATTACAAAGTGAGAAGTGTTAAAAATGTGTATAAAAGAAACAAAAAAACAAAAAAACAAACTAAAGCAGCATTTATACTCTCAGATTAAACCAACAAAAAGTCCCCCTCAGGCTGCAGATTTAAAGCATCAGCTTAACCGTATCGATCCTCGATTTCCCACCGCACCTGAAAGCAGCACGAAGCGCCCCATTGTGGATAGGAGGTACCTCCACCTGGTGGCCACTGCGTTAACTACAGCCAGGCGGAGCAACCTATCCTTCATTATCGACCAGTCCAGAGAGAAGGAGGACGGAGAGGCGAGCAGTGAAGGCGAACAGATGTGAGCCGGACTACGGGAGGAGAACAAGCTGTAGTAAGAGACGGAGAACCTCTGATTCTGCGAACATGTGGCAACCCGCGTCGGAGCGACTGCAGGTAAGGATGTGAGCGGCTTATGGTCGGTGGGGTGGCAGAAATAAACGGCTCACAGCAGCTACCGAGACCCGCCGTGCTGGTGCCGTGTGCGTGTGTGTCTGCAGCCCAGGCAGAAACGCTCCGTTACAGATGTTCCCTGTGCGCCGTGACGCTTCACCGGGGTGCCAGCAGACTTCAGAAAATGACAGAGACGAGCGTTAAAGCGAGCATTTTTTCTGCTCCTGTCTCTGTGTGGTTACCTTTTGCTGCTACGTTTCACGTTACGCAAGCCAGTGGGGTGGCTGGGAAGAGG